CCCCTATTTGTCTACGTATCTTTAATAAGATTGAGGAGATAAATCCAGATATCTCCATTAATATTTGGAAATAAAATGAAGAAACAGTTTCTTCAAAGCCTGTAATTACTAGTAAAAACTTTAGAAGAAAGCATGTGATCCGATTATTAGCTCTTACAGATATTAATAAATCTGAGAAAGGAAAATATAGACAAAAGAATCACTTTCTCTAAATCAAAAATCCTAGTAGATTAATATATAGAGATAGTGCGCATAAAGAAAAGAAGTATCTATGTGATGGATATTTCTAAAGCTGGCCCTCCGAAAAAGCTCTAGAACATCATCTAGAATAATATCTAGGAATACATAAAAATGCTTTCCAGAGAGTTATAATACCAGTGAAAGGGGTTAATGATTTCGAGGAATTTAAGAACTATAGCAGGATGATCAATGCCTTATATGTTATTATAGCTGATTTTGAGGCCGATAATAAGAAGTGTGATGAAGCATATGGTGGAAGCATGCGAAAACTTGCCAAACAGAAGGCTAATAGTTTCTGCTACTTAGTTCACTGGATCGATACTGGAGATGTATGGGGTCCGTTTTTATACAGAGAAAAAAATGTCACCTAAGAATTCATCTGAAGGATTGATCAGGAATTAGTAGAAATAAATAATGTTTTAGCCATTAAACATGAACGAAAAGTGACTGAAGAGGATAAGAAAAGATTTGCTAAATCAGATACTTGTTGAATCTATAAGAGAAAAATTACTATCGATAGGGAGAAAGTCAAATGCTTAGAAAATAAGGCATCATGGCTCAATAATAAGTTAGAAAATACCCCAAAAAATTCAGAAGACTATAAGGTCTTAACTACACAAATTCTCAAAGTGACTAAGGCAATTGATCAAGAAAAAGCCATAGATATTAAGGTATAGGACCACTGCTACATTACAAGTAAATTTCGTGGGTCAGCTCATAGGAATTACAATCTCAAACTCCAGATACAGGATTGGAAAACTCCAATTCCAGTTATCTTTATAACTTCAGGGGTTATGACTCACACTTGGTCTGTGAATCTGTTGAACGCTCAGCTAATGCATAACATATCAGAGTTATAGCCAAAACATTTGAGCGATATAAGTCTATGAAGGTAGGACAGCTTAAATATATTGATAGTCAACAGTTCATGAACAATAGCTTGGCCAATCTTACGATGAATTTGGGTAATAACCACCTAATAACAAGCTAGCACTTTAAAGACTTTTTACCTGAACAAATTTCTCTAGTATGTCACAAGAGAATTTGTTCTTATGAATATATTGATTCTCATAATAGGTTTCAGGAGACAGAACTTCCTCCTATTCACGAATTTTATAGTTTTTTAGGTAATGCAATTACACAAAAAGATTACCAATATGCTCAGAATGTATGTAATAAATTCGGATGTCAAAATTTAGGTGAGTATCATGATCTCTATCTTAAAACTGACGTACTTAATCTAGCAGATGTCTGGACCAAGTTCAGAAAGACATGTCTGCAATATTATGAGCTTGATCCCAGTCATTATGTCTCTGCCCCGTTCTTATCCTGGAATGCTATGCTTAAATGACAGGTATTAAGATTGAGCTATTTACAGAAATGACTATGCATGATTTCGTAAAAAAGGCTAAGCGTATTGGTATATCTATAGCCTGTCAACGATATTTTAAGACCAATAATCTCAAGATAGGTAAGAAATTTAACCCATCTAACCCTACAACCTGGATCTCATATGTCGATGCGAACAATCTTTATGGTTAGGTTATGAGCCAATTCTTACCTATTAGAGATTATGAATGGTTTGCTAGTCAGAAATATTTACTTAAGAATCCTGATAAACAAAAGCAATATCTTGAATATATTCTCAATACCAAACCAGATGCTAGACGTGGGTATTTCTTAAATATTAAGGCCCACTTTCCTCTAAAGACCCATGACTATTTGAAAGACTTGCTTCCAGCTGTAGAAAATATTGCAGTAGAAAAAGATTGGCTAAATTCTTATAATGCAGAACTTGTAGAGCAATTAGATAGCAGACGCTTTTCTGCAATAGAAAAGTTAGTTCCCCACCTTAGTCTACGAAAGGATTATGTTATCCACTATCAAGAGCTCCAATACTATATAAAATTAGGTATAGTGGTGGATGAAGTTTCTGAAATCATTTCATTCGACCAGATTAATTGGCTCGTGCTATATATTGCATTTAATACTGAGAAACGTCAAGGGGCTAAGAATGCTTTCGAAAAAGACTTCTTCAAGCTCATGAATAATTTAGTATATGGTAAGACTATGGAAAACATTCGCAAGTACTAGGATATCAAGATTATGAAAAATAATAATGAGCAAGATAAAAAGGCTTTCTTGAAAAAGGTCTGTAGTCCAAGATTTAAGAATGGTCATCCGCTTAGACCTACATTAGTAGGTACACATATGGAAAAGGCTAGCGTGACTCTTAATAAACCTATCATAGTTGGAGCATCTGTCTTAGGTCTTAGCAAACTTCACATGTACCGCTTCTGGTATGGCTATCTAAAAGAAAAATATGGGGATAAAGTCCAGCTTAGATATATGAATACAGATTCCTTCATATATCTTGTTGAAACTGAAGATATTTATAAAAACATGGTAGAGAAGCCCGATATCTTTGATCTCAATGATTCTAAAACTATAGGCCTTTTTAAAGATGAGACTCCTAACAATGTGATCATAGAATCTTACCACATTCAAGCAAAATCCTACCACTTTGTTCTAGCTGATAAGTCCACGAAGTCTAAGCATAAGGGGGTTAGCAAAAAAGGCATGAATGAAATGGCCGTGAAATCATATATGCCTAGCTTAGAGGGCTCCTTGCTTGATAATCCAATAGATAAATCATCATTATCAGAACAAGAGGCTAAGGACTTGATTATGCATTCTGAGGCAGACCCTATGACCCTAGTATATCGGAACTATCTTTTTAGAAAAGAAGTATTCTATGCTAAGAATGTGAGCATCTGATCAAAGGATCATATATTATCTCTAGTCGAGTCTGAGAAAAAGACCTTCTGCCTTATAGATACTAAGCGCTAGATATTATCAGATGGAATAACTACTTTACCATATAGGCATTAGCATAAAATGATTTATAAAAATATGGTCAAAGATGGTATCTCCTATGAAGAGACCGAAAAAAGAGCTATAAAGGCAAAGCTCTCAGAGAAATACCAACACGAATGTGTGTCTCACATATCTCGCTTTTAGCTATAAGTTAAATAGTGATGTGTAGTCAGATCACATACATTATTATATTAGATTTTTTTTCTAGCATAATAAATATTCAGTTATAGAATAAATCACTAAAATATCATTTGATATAGTGAGCATAGAGAATATTATAGATGATGTAAAAAAAAATATCAAAATGGTATTCAAAAATGGGGTTAGAGCTGAAGATCGTTAAGAAGTTTATATAATAGGACTACATTTAACATTAGACAGATTAACACGAGAGTTAGAATTTGCACAAAATAATTATTAAGACACATCTTCCAATCAGATTAATTAAATTGGATAGACGGTTTCAGAGGAACCATATATATTCAAGCAGACAGGTTATGCTTTAGCGTTTTCAGCTAGCGCATATATAGTTATTGTTTTCATAAGCTGGACTAAATAGTATTTGAGGGGCTATCTAATAGACTGAAAAACTCTGGCTAGCCTACGAAATTCATCTCTTTTGGCTTGGCGTTCAGTATAGTTATAAGACTGATAAACTCTGGCCAGTCTAAGAAATTCACCTCTTATTTCATATTGGAATAAGATATCCTGATAGTAACCATTTAGTTCATGATCATGTTTTAAATAATATTGTGTACGACATCTTGTGAAATAATATATAAACTGTCTTTTATTATGAAGTAGTTATCTTCTACCATAGCGAGAAGAATTTAAGAAACCTTTATGGTTATATAATATAGAAAGAGAAATAGTCCTTATACTTAACCGATTAAGAATAATATTCCAGATCTTACTCACCTTGTAATAGTTAACAATTTTAGCAAGATCAAAATGATTTTTATATAGGTGAAAAAGAATATTATCACGAATGCCAGGAATACTAATAAACTCAACTTTTCTCTTTTTCTGAATAATAAGTTTAGTTACAGCATTCCATTGATGATTTACTCTGGCATAACTCCTATAAAGATCTTTCTGACTGAAAAGGGCAAAGATAGCTTCAAGTAGTTCAGGTATTTCTAGGATATAATACATATTTTTTTTTCTGATACAATAATATCCAGTTATAAAAATATTATTAAAATAAGATCACTTGAAAGTGTAGTAGTTTTTGAAAAAATCAAAGTGCTAGAGGAAAGATTGAATGATATAGATAATCGTTTAGATACATTATTTTCCTCCTTCTATTGTTCATCCAAGTCCAGTTCATCCAAGTCAGATTATGAACCATGGAAAGCTACCAGCTTTGAAAAACCTGGGAATAAGAAGGTGAAACCTAAAAGGAACCCAACCCGAGCTTGTAGAAAAAATTAAATCCATCATTCTGTCTAGTAATAGGTAGAAAATCAAGGAATAATCATCATAAAATAATGGAAAAGTTCACTACTAGTCCTACACAGTATTTGCTATTATGTAATCTGGCCAAATATGAATAAACATATGATAGGGCAACAGGTTTTATTACTGTTAAAAATATAAGACAAGATAGGGTTGTAGGCGTGTTTGATTATCCTAAACTGTGTAATTATTTAGAAGTCTGATCTGGGCCATAGACGCTATGCATAATAATTAATAGTTACCTCCTTTTAGCTATTTTTTTTCTTTATATATAATTAGACTAATTTTCGCAGATAAGGAATGAAAAATGATAAAAAAGAGAAGCAATCCCAAAGAAATCAGCCTGAGATAAGCCAGCTTGACCATGATTCCTCATCCTTATTTTTCCTGATTTAGGAAAATTGAACAAAGAATTTGAAAAAAGTATGGCAGAGCTAGAAAAGGTCATAAAATTGCTGAAAAGCAATATAAAAAAACCGTTACTGATTAATATTTCTGATTCTAATTTCCCGGCTGATTAATCAGCCTTCCAAGTAATTTGATAAATACTAGTCCGTAAATATTAGTATAGACATCATGTATCATGGGTATAGTCCTAAACTTTGTATTTATTTTTTACATATATTAATAAACGATCTTTCAGGATATACCTTTTATGGCAATAATATTTTCGTATGATTAGAAGCATGATAATCACTCCTGAGTTGATCATTCTGAGATCGTTTCAGCATAAATTAGTCAGAGACATTTCGCATGATGATTGCTCAAGCAATCAGATTGTTGGATAGTCATCTATATTAGGAATTGATTAAAAGGTTCTGGGAAATAAATCGGGTTAAAGTAGAATTTGAGAATAGTTCAAGAACTTCTAGCGATTATTACAGGATATTCACATATGCAGTTAAAAAAATACTATTAAAAACATAGTAAATTTTAATCGCCTATGAAAGAATGAATAATGTAAGGATGAACTTGGGTTGATGAGCAGTTAGGTACTTATAAAAACACCTCATATTCTGCTTATTTGCTAGAAGACTAATCACCTGATTTCTGAAAAAAATAGTTGACTGGACCGATGCATAAAACCGTATCCTTATTGACGAGCGTAAAATAGGAACGAAGAATATCACAATTTGAAAAGGAATCGAGATGTATTTTGGAAAGTGTTACTACTAGAATTAATAATGAAGTGCATGGTTCCAATTTCCTGAGATATCATTGTAAAGAAAAAATCAGGAATCTTGTTTAGGACTATAATGTAAGTGTAAATGATAATAGACATTATATAAGCGTAAGCAGATCTTAAATATCCTTCTACACTCTTTGATGACTAGGCAATGTGTAAATATATGAATGGAAGTTGAATAGCTCGAAGGAGTCAGGCAGGAGCTAGATATTTTGACGAGTTCCGCTCTCATTTTTGGGAAATACCTGAAGATCTATTCAATAGAATCCGTAATATGAATATTTCCAACTGCAGATGTAGTAGGAGAGGTTCTTTACTAGTACCTTCTATTGAGATGGTTGAACGGGCACTAAGTCAGAAATTATTTATCCAAAGAAGTCAAAAGAGTCAAAGCAATCAAAGGAATTATACACGTTTGAAATCACTATCTCGTAATGAAGATGGTAATACAGAAAATCCAGCCGGAGGTGATAACATAACAACTTCATCTGTTCAACAACCATCTTATGAAGCCAATCAGCAATCATCTAATAGTGCAGATGATGAGGTCACTTTGAGACCTGGTAATAATGTAGGACAATGAAAAAAATAATAAAGTTTTTCCATATCAGATCTTTCTCCTTTTTTATTCATATGTATCTGTAAATGCTGTATGAGCGTTTATCAAATAAAATGATACATGCATTCATAAGAAATCTGCAAACTAATCTGTATGAATATAAAATCACTCCTTTTTTCTTTACTATTTGCTCAGAAAAAGACTTTCTCAAATTCTGAATCTGATTGACCGATCATTTTGCTCTAAGAATATTCTTAATATTTTTCCTGGAATCTAGGCTTTGGCAAATTTTTTGGCTATTGTCTAGGCGGAAAGTTTTGCTAGAAATATATGGAATACCCAAACTTCTAGAAATATATGGAATTCCTGAACTTCCAGGAATATTTTTTTCTGGGAATTTTCCAAGACTATATACTTACCCTATTCAAACACATGCTCAGTCAACCGCATTTCAATAATCACTATAAGAGTTTGCTTGATCAATTATCCCCATCTATGAAAAAGGATGTATAGTTACACCTTACAACTCACAAAAATAAACTATTATCTGAGGAGCTGGTTAGGGGTATCCATCCGAACATTGAGGAGTTGCTTACTAAGGAAGTTAATAAATACTATAACAAAAAAAATCACCAGAAGATTAAGATTGAAGTAAATGTGATTCCAGAGGGATCCTCTACCTTGTCTAAGCTAGATGGTTTTGAAAAGCAGTTGGAAGAGCGTGAGGCTTTGGTAAGACAGAAGGAAAATAATATTAAAAAAACTATTGAGACTCAGGTTGCTGAGGAACACAAACGTCTAAAAGATGAATATGATGCTCTTAAGTCTCATCTGAAAAGTGAATATAATAATTATATGGTAGATATGAAACAAAAGACATATTCATTTAAATATCAATTAGAATCCTAGCATAATTCACGCTCAGTTGAGCTAAAGAAGTAATATAAATCACGTATCTCTACTTTGAATAAATCTATAGTTGGGAAAGATAAGGAGATCGGCAAGTTATTCTCTACTATTTCCCAGCTTAAGAATGAAAAACGAGATAAAAGAAGACTGCCGAGTCTATATATAAAGATTTGAAGGATATTATCTTTACTAAAGATATAAAAATTATAGCTCTCAATGATCAAGTAATATTCTCCAATCCTAGTACTAAAAGGGATGGGACAATTGAGCCAAATACATTTATTTCTTTTCATGATGCTGAATATTGGACTAGAAAATAGGAAGATGCAAAGAGTAATCTAAATATCTGAAAAAAATACACTCTTCGAAAACCTGTCTAGGCAAGACTTAGCCGAATAGGCACAGTATTTTTTTTACTAATCTGATCAGTTGTTAAGCTAACCTGATTATTCGTTAGACTAATCTGATTACTTATCGAACTAACCTGATCACTTGTTAGACTAACCCGATCATTGATCTGACTAGACCGCTCACTACACATATTTTTTAACTTCAAGTGTCTTTTAAGAATAGAGGGATATCTGAATTCCTTTTCACAATACATATATGTCCGATCATCTAGTTTTTTTTAGCTCTACAGGAAACCATTCTTCTGGCTCCTTTCCTACAGTAAAGACATTGCACTAGGATTTGTGAACTGATAGGGGGATGGTGAAATCTTTCCATTACATGTGACCTTAAATTCTCCTTTTATTAAAAACTCCTAACCAGTTCGATACTGCTATTGTATTTCAAGAATTACTAAAGATTTAGCATTTCTATCCTGATCTTTTTCTGCAGGCACAACAGAAAATTCATCTATTATAGAGGCTGTATTTTCTCCAGAACTTATTGTTATAGAAACATTATCTATAGTGCCAATGGATATGGATTGACTTGCGACCCCATTAAGCCTATGAATTTTTTTCCTATTAATTTTAATTCCTAAAAGCTCTTCGATAAGTTCAGCAATATTATCTGAAAATATGGAAGAATCAGAATCAGTATCAATCATTGCGCAAGGTATTACCAAACTTCCTATTTTACAATAAATAGTCGCAATATCGTCAGCATCTTTTATTTGTAAAAAATTTATTTCTAAAGGCTTGGGCCAATATATTTGGCTATTTTTTTTTCAACCAAATGACATTGCGTATATGCCTTAATAGCGTGATTTAAAGTATGTCTGCCTCCTGAATAGTTATTATCTGGCAAAGATTCTTTTTCCATAAAATTATTTGCCTTTCTTTTAGCTTGACACTCTTCTTGAACGGTCTGAGAAGTAGACGAAACTTGTAAAAGAGGCTTCTGCTCAGTATTTACTGCTTGTAATAGCGGAAGCAAGACCTCTTGTACTTTTTTTGTAACATTCTCCTATGCTAATTCTCTTCTTTTAACTGTATCATTTGGCATAATAGTATTCAAACAATGTCTTCTAATTTAAGGTATATTGTATTAATAAATTTCGAAATTTCTATAAGAATCTCTTTAGGGTAATGGGGACTATTGATGATATTATAGATTTTAAGGCTATTTGATGCATTTGATCTGTAGCTATGTGAAGTGCCTCTTTAGTATTTTCAGCACGAGATTTGGAAGTAGGGGATTCCTTCTTGTGAGTCTTTTTCATAGCCGACACTTTTACTTTTGAGCTGATCAACATCACGTATTAAAAGCTCTAAATTTGCGTTTGCATAATCAGACTAGAGTTCCGGACGAGTCGAGTTAACTCACGAGTCAGATAAGCCGAGTCGAGTTCAAATCAAGTCGAGTTGGTG